TGTCAGGATTCAGGAAATGTAAGCCTCATTTTTGTCGGATTTACGGTTTTCCTGCAGTTTGGCCCAGACCACGAAGAAGTCCACACTTCCCCAATAGAAAGCCAATGAGAGCTCTCTGAAAATCCGAACTGAAAATAAAAAAAAAACAGACTTTTTGGTATCGCTCCCATTCGGGAACCATTCGACATAGCAACATGAGCCTTGGTGAAATTGTTCCTCAGACCTTCCTAGCACTCACATTGAAGGAAGTGTGTCGATATCTTTTATCGTTTAGCTAGGAACAAGGTTTGTTCGGGGGTAACAAATCTGTCCGAACCCCAAAATCAAGATTTTGACAATTATACACTTTTTTACATCGTCACCACGCCTAGACGAAATATTGTAGAAATATGAAAGTTACACCAGTTGTAGTCCAAAGATGGCTGACGCTCACGGTGAAAGAATTTTTTGAATACCTTTTACGGTTTTGGCTTACCGCTCGTTTGTTCGGAGGGAAAGTTTTGCTTTTGAGACTTCTGCTCTACCATTGAGCTGCATGTTATTTAATGAGACCAGCAGGATTTATAAACCTTTATGCTTCTCCTTCCCATTAAGGCTGTGAATGAGCTACATCCATGAAAGTTACCCCAATTGGAGACAAAGGATAGCTGTCGCTTAGACTGAAAGAATTTTTTGGATCCCATTTACGGTTTGTCTTCAGCACTCGTTTGTTCGGAGCTGATATTCCCATTCAAAAAAGCCTGAGAGGAAAGGAATGACAGGCTTTCACTGACAGGCTCGTTAAGCGTTGTCAAGGTAACTGAGCTTCAAAGGGATTTTACCTCCACCACTTTAAACAGCACATTTTAATCTAATGGAGGGAGACAACACTGATTTAACATTTGGAAATGGATACAATATGACTACTGGCCATGACCCTTCCCTTCAGACGCAACCCTGATAGACTTTCAAAATAAGATTCCGGGGACCCTTCAAAATAAAAGCCCCTACATTAAACTCATATTTTTTTCCCAGCATATGGCTCAACATTATGACCCAAACTCAACCACTTTTTTAAAAATGAGATTCTAGGGGTTTTTCAAAACACAACCCACAGCAAATTTCAAAATAAAAGCCTCCCATTGCCACTTCATCTACTGCCCTAATAACAGGGGAAAGAGTGATTTAATGATTGGAAAGTCATCAAGTATCACTGCTGGGTCTGACCCTTTTCTCAACACACTACTACTAGACTTTCAAAATAAGACTCCAGTGACCCTACAAAATAAAAGCCTCTATATTATACACGCGTATTAATTGATGCAAATGGATCAGCATTATGACCCAAACTCTACCAGCTTGTTTCTATTAGACTCTAGGGACCTTTTCAAAACATACCCCAGAGCAAATTTCACAATAAAAGTCTCCCATTTACGCTCTAATACAGCATCTATTCACCCAATAACATGGAAAACCAGTGATTTCATATTTAGAAATGGATTCTATATCACTGCTGGGCATGACCCTTCCCTTGACACATATCCATGATAGACTTTCGAAATAAGACTAAAGGGACTCTACAAAATAAAAGCCTCTTCCTTACATACACTCATTCATTGTGCCGTATGGCTCGTAGCTATGATCCGAACTCAACCACTTTTTTAAAATTAGACTCTAGGGGGGTTTTCAAAACACACCCCACAGCAAATTTCAAAATAAAAGCCTCCCATTGCTGCTTCATCTACTGCCCTAATAACAGGGGAAAAGAGTGATTTAAGGATTTGAAAGTCATCAAATATCACTGCTGGGTCTGACCACTTTACTCAACACACAACCATGCTAGACTTTCAAAATAAGACTCCAGTGACCCTACAAAATAAAAGCCTCTATATTATACTTGTGTATTAATTGATGCAAATGGCTCAGCATTATGACCCAAACTCTACCAGCTTGTTTCTATTAGACTCTAGGGACCTTTTCAAAACATACCCCAGAGCAAATTTCACAATAAAAGTCTCCCATTTACGCTCTAATGCAGCACCTATTCACCCAATAACATGGAAAACCAGTGATTTCATATTTAGAAATGGATTCTATATCACTGCTGGGCATGACCCTTCCCTTGACACACATCCATGATAGACTTTCAAAATAAGACTAAAGGGAACCTACAAAATAAAAGCCTCTTCCTTACGCACACTCATTCATTGTGTCGTATGGCTTGTAGCTATTACCCAAAGTCAACCAATTTCTTCAAATTACACTACCAAGGCCTGTTGACCACACACCTCAGTGCATATTTCTTAATCAGGTTCTAAGATTTACACTGTAATAAAGCATCTGCTAACCTTGTAACATGCAGCCTAAGCCTGCCAACGGTGCTTTCATTACCACAGCGGCTCATAACATGCAGGTTCAATTTTTTTTATAAATTCAGCTCCTTAAGTGGTATTAGCTCTCTTTCTATAGGTTTCTCTCTCTGTCCTTCCTCTGCTTCTCATGGTCAGTCTTGCACATTGGTTTGTAGATTTTCAATCCTCTAAGGATGACACTGTTTTCTTTATGCTGATCAACCGACACATTTTAAATAATTTTCCAATTGTTTTGCCAAGTCTTGACATTTCCACATATGATTTTAAAATGTTAATACTTATTCAATACCATCGTCCTCAACATTTTACTTCCCATCCTTAAGCTACTAATTTTTTCTTCAACCAGATAAGATTAAAGTTTTTCTTTGTAATTTCTTTTCTACTTCAGCTAATTTCATACTTTTCAGCCTATATTGTGAACTTTGGCTTCATTCTGCTCTGTTTCTGGACAGGAATTAAGCTTTTCTGTTTGCTGCTAATTCATAACACGCCTGACATGTTTCTGGAAAGTAGGTAAACCCCCCTTCAAAATTTCTTTATACATTTTTCTAGAAACTTGGGAGACATTATATTAAGACCCTTCTAGTGCCCATATTCAAGACATTTTTTGATATCATGTATGGTTTGGCTGTGCAGCTTTTAAGATGAGTTTGTTTCTGCCATTTTACTGCCAAATGATTCTACCCTACAAAATCTTCAGATGATTCAATTGTTTTCTGCAGTTTGAAGTTTCTGATGACTTCCTATCACATTTTCATATGTTATGCAGGTAATTTCAGCTTTTTTCATTCAGCAAAAGCATTCCCACTTTGATGTTTCTCCGAAACAGCTTTTTCTAGTTCGAATTACTTTTTAGTTTCAATCCTGACAGTTGATTTAATCACTGTCTGGTACACAGTAGTAGGATGGGTGGAGATGCGTCTGGAGAAATCTCTATTTCAAAAAACTCACCAAACCCACAGAAGAGTTATTTTCCTGAATAGAAATTAAACTGGGTCTTAATGGCTTTGAAAGTGTTCTTAGCTGCCATAATTGATATTGGGCCAGTCCTTAGCTCGCCCAATATCAATTAATCCTTTGCTTGGATCTAGTCTGTATCAAACCTGGACTCCTTTTCCTCTGAACCACTGAGACGGCAGCTTGGTGAACAGAATGATTAACTTTCCTAGTTTTACTCAGAGCTTCATCAGCGACTGTTTATATTGAGCTAAAGGAGGAACCAGGAGGAGGTTTTGGGTTTAAACCTTCAGAACCTGCCTGTTCCCTTTCAACAGGACGTCACCAACACTCCACTCAGATTCTTTATTGTGGTGATGCCAACCTTGAAGATATCAGTTCCAGTTTGATGTCTTTTTACAGGAGAAATGCAGATGAACGGTGGATGTTTTCCACTGTGAGGCTAATAATCCCAGATGATGAGGAGGAGGGAGTTCTGGTGCTGAATGAGGAGATTAACCACAGGAGAGACAGCAAAGACCATGAAAGCCTCAGCTTGGCCAGAGTGGAACAAAGTCTGCCTCAGTACAGCGTAACACTATATTCAGCTCTGGGCCACGTGCCTTCACTCCTGCTTATAAACACACATGCTTCTCCAAAGGCAGCGTTACTGAACTGCCATGACTTACAGCGTGTTTCATCTGGAACTCAGCGTTGGTCTGCAGCTCCGTCCCTTATTAAGGGACTGTTTGGAAAAGAACAAGCAGAGAAAAATGGGACTCTGAGCTGTTTGTCTGCAGAGCAACACAGCTGGTTGAGGATGCTGTGGAAAGTATTAGGCAGGCTGTTATTTAGAGTCTCTCACTCCATCATTTTACTCGGCTTCATTAGTTCTGCATCAAATCTTTGGCTTTATTACTGATTAGAAGGTAATGAAGTCAGAAGAGTTGAACCAGATTTCATCTAATATTAGCTTATGTCTTGGAGTCAGTTTTAATGCTTTTTATATTGTTATTAAAAGTGCTATATTAGCTATCTCTCTGACAGAAGTGCTGCATTATCGCAAAGTCATCTTACAAATACGTTGTAAACACTAATCCGGGAAATAATGTTGGGTTGAGTTTTGTTTTACTCCTATGCCTTGCAGAATCTTAAAAAAACAACAACATTTATTTTAGTTAGACAGAGACCAGGAATAAAAGGACTTAATTTAGTGACAGATTTTATGTTTTGTTTTCAGATTTTAGAAATATTCACATGTAAAACCCTTAAAAAAGGGATAAATAATTGTGATTCTCCCAGAGTCATTGCTTTGTAAGAGCCCCTCTCACTGCGGCTCAAAGTGTAAGGATTTTGGTTTGACCCTCCACCATTTTTTTCAAACTTCGATTTCTACTTTGAGTCGTTCTACCACTAAATCTTAACCAAATAAATATAAGTTTGAGTTGAAACCTGAACAAATTATTTAAAAAGTTTCATCACTTCAAAGGGATAGACATCCACAAATCATTATTTCAGCTAAATTTCAATCGATGGCCAAACCTCTTTAATTTTTTTCTTTCATCGATTATCTGCGACCACAAACAAAGAGTCATTTTCTGGTTGTGACAACTTTTACAAGACAAAATTCTTAGTGCTATTAGCAGCGTTTTAAACTGCGACTCTGGAAATGATGGTTTTCCCTTCTGTCTGTGCTTTAATCCTGTCCTCCAGCTGGCTTCAGGAGAAGCTTCCGGCTAAGCAGGAGAGACAGGAAGACCAACAAGTCCATGTATGAGTCCAAGAAGAGCCAAATATACGACATGGCTGACGTCCCCACGTACGAGGAGGTGGCCCCCTACTGCAGGCAGAGAGGAGCTAAACACAGGCTGGTGGTCCTAGTGGGTGAGTAAAGAGCCTGATCTTGACCTGTGATGTCACTGCTCGCCTCACATTCTGCTGCTGGTAGATTTGGTTGTGTAGACAGATTTGTTGTGCACTTGTATGCATTTCTCTTCATTGTAATGTAAACACTTAGAATAACTTTTGGACTCTCACATGTTTTCAGAAATCAGAAATACTTAAATAATTCCAGAGGGAAATTACTTTTGTTTTCCTGTGAACATGCCCAGATGGCTGTGTGCTGGGCCAACAGATGAAACTGTGATGAAATTATGGTCAAACAGTAAACTCTGCATACATATGAAATTAATTCACAACTGTTTTTTCCTAGCAAACAGTCCACTGGATGAGGACGCACTGGTCCAGGATAGGGGTGTAAATAATAATTGTTTTGTATCGATGCATCGATCCAACAGCCGACGATCCGATGCATCGACACGTCTGCAAGAGAATCGATTCATTTTTTTTTTCCTCCGGTCTATTTTTATTGATTTGCTCCTGGGCGTAATTCTCCCTCCCATCCTGCGGTGGCGCTAAACCTGTTTTGCCCTCCTACCTCGCTTCCATGTTATACTCTTACAGCAGTTTATTACAGTGAGCTTGACACAGACATTTTAGATTTATGCTCAATATTGAAGCGTGGTCTGTGCTACACGCTGTGGGTCTAGTTACAGCCGAGGCGGCGAGGAAGTGGGGGCGAGTTTAGTCCGACAACGGAGGGACATTAGGGCCAAAAAGAGCGGAGATCCAGTTGGAAAAAGGGTCCCAGCGTTCTGGCGCACCTCACTCTTCTAGCGGGTCAAACTTCACGAGTTGTTTTCTGTAATTTCGGTCATAAAAACAAAACAAGGCGGCCTCCTGTCTGCGGCACTGTCTGCGGTCAGCTACAATTTGGGAGAGGAGCAGCGGAGCGTCTATGGAGGGGGCGGGACGCCTGGAGCCGAGGTATTGAATTGCACTCATTGCACTGATTTATTGCAGTATTTTTTGATGCAAGGCCTTTCAGAATCTATAACACAGGGGTATTATTATTTTGCAGTAAATGAGGTTTTATTAGGAATAGGTGGAGTACAACTTTTCTACTTCTGTTATTTCCTGTTGCTTCTAAAAAAAAAATACATAATGATATTACAGCTTTAATAGATGTATTTCAAATTTGAAACATTGTCTAGCCTGTAAGGTGTAAAAAAAAAAAAAAAAAATGAACCAATTAATCGAATTGAATCGTATCGTGGTGAATTCTTGAGCACACCGACGTGCAGTATGGAGGCGGGTGGGCCATGCACGCTTTATGCTTCTTGGTTGAAGGTTTTTGACAGTTGGGGCTGTCCTGGGAACGTCAACCCAGTATATTGTCCCATTTTGGATGCAATTGACTTTCTCCAAAAGCTTCTTAGCTGGGGTCACTCATTCTATGCTTGACTTTTGGGAATCAGAAGCATGAAAAGGTCGGGTTTTTTATTTGTTGCATCCAATTTGACAAGTGACGTCTGTTTTTACTGGTTTATTCAATAAAACCACATATTTAAATACTTTAGCATTTTTCTGTCATCATATAAAGCAGTAACATTCAGATTAGCCAATTTGAAACAATTTTTGGATGGAAAATGATGATAGAGAGACAGATACTGTAATTATTTAAGCTGAAATAGTCAATGATAAGATACATTTTGTCACTACGTAGATGTTTCTTTCACATTAACTAATAGTATTAGTGTTTCAACACAAGATGGCACTAAAATAGAAGGAGTATCATCTTACAAGTATTTAGGCATCTGGTTGGATGATAAGATGTCCTTTGGTGTCCATATTGAGAGCCTCTGTAAGAAACTTAGACCAAAGTTGGGTTTTTTCTTTAGAATGAGGAAGTGCTTTCCCTATCTTGCGAGGAAAAGGCTAGTTCAGAGCACATTCCTGTCAGTGCTTGACTATGGGGATACACTGTATATTCACTCCAGTTTATTCTTACTTAAAAAACTGGATGTACTGTACCACTCTGCCTTACGTTTTATCACAGGTGCATCAGCTAGGACTCACCACTGCACTCTCTATGAAACTGTTTTCAGTGGTCTTCTCTTTACATGAGGAGAAAAATTCATGTACTGACTTTTATTGCCAAAGCCCTTATGGGTAAACTACCTTTATACATTTTTAATTTACTTTCCATTCAAGATAGTACTTACAGGACTAGGTCATCAGAAAAAATACTTTTACATACTCCATTTACAAGAACTGAGCTAGGAAAAACAGCATTTTCATCATTTGCACCTAAAGCATGGAATGAACTTCAAGCCACTTTAAATCTTGAAGTACTTCCATCCATAAATTATTTTAAAGACCTGTTAAAATCATCATTAACTGACAGATGCAACTGTTTTTGATTGGATGCCTTGTTTGCTGTTTGCTTTTTGGTTGTATGTGTATGCCCAATCTTGTTGTGTTGTGTTTAATTTTGCCTAGATGATATGTAGCTGTGGTTGTCTTGTCTCCTGTGGTTTTATGTTAATGTAACTTTTTAAGCCGCCTTCTTGGCCAGGACTCCCTGGAAGAAGAGTTACTTTAACTCAATGGGACTTTCCTGGTTAAATAAAGGTTAAATAAAAAAAAAAAAAACATTGGGAGCTTTGCAATGTAGCCTTGCTGGGAAATTGTTCTGTTTGTGATTTGGCAAATAAATAGACTCCGTCTTACCTGGTTGAAAAAGCATGGCTATTACTTTTTTTCAGCTATATGCAATCTGGATGTTAAACATGTTTACCTAAAAAAAATATTTAGATATGACTTATCAACATATTTGTCATGAACCGAGGACAGATGGACCCAGTATACAAGGAGAGACAGTCAGTAGGAAAGTTCAAAAAGTTTTTTAAATAAAACAAAAACTAAAGTGGAGCTGTGGCTTGCGGACACTGCAGGATGGGGAGCGGGGCGCCGCCCAATCACAGACACTCTGCAGGAGAAACACAGGTAAGTGACCACGATCATCCGACAGAAGATGATTATCTGAGTTGGCCACTTACCTGGTTTAACAGTCCAGTCCAAGAATGTCCCCAAAGCTGCAGTTCCAGAGGACATGCTGGAAGCCGATCCAGAACAGACAGGAACAGGATCCAGATCAGGCAGGAACAGAAACAGGTGGCAGGATCCAGACTTCCAAGCATTCACAGGCTCCCAGGAGGGTTTAGAGTCCGAAAGCGTGACCAGGGTCCGAAAGCGTGACCAGGTGGTCACGCACAGGAGCAGACAGGATCGGGTGCAGATGAGCTGGCTCAGTGGAAGAGGGTAGCCGAGACTGGACGTGGAACCAGAACTTGATGCAGGACTTTAAACTGGTCTCCTCCCTGGAGCCAGGCCTACTGGATAAAAACTGAACCTCCCCACATATAGAGCCAAAAACCTGGAGGACTCCGCGAGGGAGGAACAGTGGACGATTAGGAGACGAGACAAACACAAAAACCCTCTTTCCACTGGCCGCCAGGATCCAGGACATGAACCAAGGCAAAAACTCAACAGACAGACTAACAGAAAGACAAGTAATGATCTGGCACTGAATGCTCAGGCTGAACTGAATATAACCAAGAGGAAACAGGTGAGAAGAACAAATTATAATTGAGGCAGGGAGGGAAAACGACAGGTGAAAGGAATGACTAATTAAGGGAGAGCAAACAGGCCAGATCATGACAATATTACTGCAAAAAAAGTAAGATGGTTTTAGGTAATGAGGGCTGGGAAAATGCTTGGTACATGCTTTTGTTTTTTTGATACTGTTTGCTTCAGCCTTTCCTGAATCTCATGTACAGGATGTTGGTTACATCAGAGGTTGTTTGCATTACAGAACTGACAATTAGCTTGGTGGGTTGAATACACAAACCTGAAGAGAGGAGGGGGCTTTCAGGGATTCCTGGGCTAGCAGTGTTAAATTCTTTCACCTCCTGCACCTCCCTCCTTTCAAGCTGCAGAGACCATGGAGTCTGTACCAGTGGCCTGGAGCCGCAGCTGCAGCTAAGCTTTCCAAAGAGCTTCAGAACAAGCTGCCGAAGTCCTGAAATGAATTTAGTGGTTTCTCTTTCTGTGCTTGTGGTTGGAAGACAAGTGTTGGCAGTAAATGGTAGAACAATAAGCTGACCCAGGAGCAGCAGTGAAGGTTTAAATCTCTCTCAGGACCAAATGGAGCATCAGGGAGCTGTCGGTTTCTCCTTGTTTTCCTTTTTAGGTTTCTGACGAGAACAAATATGACAAGAACGTCTCAGACTGAAATGGAACAACAACATTCCCCAGATTTTCACTGGGATTCTCTTTATTGTTTCCATGAATCAAGGAAAAAGCTCCAACATCTGTTCTAGCTGCTTCAGCTCAGATATTTCAGGAGTTTGTTTTTTTTAAACATCCAGTCTAGGAGGTGGAGGACGTCTCCCTCCTTTCTTCCTCTCTCCTGATTGGCCAGGCCTCGGTACTCAGAGCATGGACTTCATCAGGCCCAGGTGCTAATTAGCGAGCCTATTTTGCTGCCACTGTGTCCCAGCCTGACACAGGCAATGCTGGACCTCTAGCACCTCTCACCCTGATGGAAACATTTTCAGAGAACGTCTATAGTTTATAGGACAGTCTGTGGACAGTTTGACACTCAGTGCAGTGGAGGAAGCCTGCCGTCTTTCCTCTTCTGCCTCTCTGTCGCTGGATTTTTATTATCAACCAGCTAACAAATATGGAGTCACATTTTACCAGATGGGACTCCATATTTGTCAGTTTTAGTCTCTGTTTAAGTCCTGAGAAAATCATTTTCCATTTAGTTTAAAGGTTTGGATGGAAGCCATTTTGTTCCAACTGATTTAAATACTCTCTGTGAATGAAAGTCTAATGAAGGTTCTAAATTTAAACTCAGACGTCCCGATTATAGACAAAGAAAATTTTCCCCTGAATGTTTTAAAGACCACGATGAGTTGAGAGCCTTAAAGGGAACACCATTTTTTTTACATTGGCCCCTTGATTTTACATTATTACAT